GATATCATTAATAATAGATCCTTGTATCGATGTTCATTAACGTTTTACCCACAGGATAACCAAAGTCTTTCTTAATCTGGTATTTTTTTTGTGTAAGCTTTTCTTCACAAAAATTTTATTATATGCTGGGCTGTTATTAATTTCATTTATCGTAACTTTGTTTTTAATTTAGTTTTATAAAGATTTTAAAATATCATGTAGCTTTTATAAAACGTACTAATAAGCTTTTCTTACTATAACTAACTTGGAGCATTTTTTGCTTAATTGTAATAACACTACACCAATAACCCTGCTTTAAAGCATATATGAGTCTTTAGAAAAATAAAATATCTCTTTTCAAGGAAGAATTTGCCAACCTTACTCTGCTCACTTAATCGTAAATTTTTTAACGTCAACATTTCTATTCTGAGTTATTGACGCAACGGTAAGTTCGTATTTTACGATGTGTTAGGTAAAGGGATATGTTAAAACTTATACAATTTAATTATTAAAAAAACGAATACCATAATTCTTAAACAACATTAAGCCAAAGTATACATTCTCTTTCGAGAAATGTACTTATCTTTTTTTTGTCAAATGTACATTATTTAATTTAAATTCCCCTTCGCGAGGAGGTTGGATAATTAATGCCCACTAATGCTTTTTCCTAATGGATTATTGTGACGGTCCCAAATGACCGGGGGATTGCAGAGACTTATTGGGTAGGTATTGACCACGTTAAGATGGTATATACTCGTAAATAAAGATACTGATGTACTGTACTTTACTAATACTAGAGTAGAACGCTACCATTTATGAGAAGTACGCACTCTTTAGCGCGCCCCAACGAACTATACAAGTACCAGCCCATTTCTAGCGCAAAGTAGGCTACCCGAGTCAATCTTTCTAATAGTGTTAGGATTTAGTTAGAAAGCTTTCAGTTTGATACTAATGCAATTTTGGCATAGTGCTGATATACAGCACTAATTCATAAATAATTTTAAACTAATCCCATCTAGAATCTATGCAAATAGTGCTATTTAATATTACTCATGATAGAAACCTTTAAAGTTCTAAACGACTAAAATATGGTTCTAGAGAACGCCACAGATTTTCGGACGCATCTATTCACTTAAGATGCAGAAATTGCCATTACTTTGCTTTCAACTTCACCAAGTCAAAGGATCTACAGACACCGTGGGCTAAGAAGAAAACGGTATAATAGGCAATAATTCTAGTATATCAAGACCGATTTGACTACCAAGAGACTAGTTCATAAGCTAACAGCTAAGGTTTAGACCAGTTCTAGCCTAACAAAGCTCGCCATAACCCTTAATGAACTCAAAGGAATTGTAGCCTTTAGAGATCTTAATTAAGTCATCTGTTCTTATAATTTATTAGAGCGAGTCCTTCCACACAAGCAGACTTTTGGCTATAAGACCAGTTCGTTCCACCCTAAGACTCTCCAAAATACATGGTAATCCTGATCACTTCCCCTTAGAGCACGATAACCATATTCTTTCCTTACTGTGTTTGATCATTTACTTGGTGATAGAATATTAAATTACAAGCCCTCCTGTCCAACTTCAGACAAGTCAAGTAAAGCAATTCGGCTTAGAGGGTTATTAACCGGCGCCCTTTAGTACTGTAACTACATTTAACGTGCAATCTTCCTTGAATAGCAATCCGACCGTACAACGTCATCAGGTGAAGTTTGAAGTCAGTCATCGGGGGCTACAGGTAGAGCCCCACGATGAATTTTACTATGGGCTGACCTTTTAGGGTTGCTCAACGAAGTAACTTGGCTACGTTGTGTAGAATCGTTACGTTATTAAAGAGTGTACCACCTTGCAGGAAAGTGCCAAGGATGACTAACAGCCAGGTCTCCCACGCAGAGGCCAACCAATGCAAATGAGATATAATACTAGTCTTTCGACCTACCTAACTTTTAAATTAAGCTCGCTGTGGGCACATGGCAATGAAGGATGTGCGCGCAAGGGAAGCGTTGAAAATGTTAAAAGGATAAAAGGCTGGCTTATGTGAGAGCATGAGAAAAGAAGTTCCATTATCTTATACAAGCTTTTTAAAGGGCTTATTTTTTTTTATTTTTTTAAAATACCCCCTTTGGAGGGGTAAATAGTGTTCTTACCCAAACTAGTTTGTTATTCCCGTGAAACTGTCATAAAGACGCTAGATATAATATATTATTAACTTTCTTAAATAATTAGTTTTTATATTAAGATACTATAAATTACTTTATTTTTTTTAAATTATATATAATTTATATATCTTGTTACTTCTCGCTCTCCCTAATTATATGTTGGGCGGTGAGCGCCGTTCAAAGGATGGTACATCAGCTTTTTTTGCGAGTTTTTTGGTGTGCTAAATAAACTGTTCATTGGTGCGTTTAGTAATTTAGTTAAATTATGCTGGTATATATCATCAAAGTCGAGCTCTTCTGCAGGTTTTCTTCCATAGTAGGAGAAACGTGTCTTTGCTGCTCTGGTGATAACATATTACAATAGTTGCAAATATAAATTGCTGAGTAACTATTTATAATTATGTTAGTAACGACAGGTAATTAATTGTATGAGAATATGAAAAAGTCAAAGAAAAAATTTTTACCAGCAATTTTGCAAAAAGTTTCCTAATGCCGCTCATAAGTTTCATTTACTTCAGTACACGGGCCTCCACCTTTATTAAATTTACAATGGAAAGTGAGTAAGATTGTACATGGGTACCTAATTTAACTTAAGGTTTCATAATAAACATTAAAAGGAGACTTTTATTTTCATAAAAAATTATTCGGAAAGACCGCTTTAGAACATATTCGTACTTCAAAAAAATTTAAAAAAGATATCATTTATTACAAAAGTACCTTTAAAAATTAAATCCAAGCTTTTTGAATGCGTTATTAGAAACATTAGACCCTATTTATACCATGTACAAGTTTATGGTCTTGGTGTGGGTTAACTTGGGGAAAACGAGCCCAGGAACTGAACTGACACTAGGTGATAGGCTTGTAGGTACCCTGATTTGGCCAAGATGACTAAAAGTTAAATAATTACAAACACCATAGGAAAGGAATGAAATACAACTCTCTATTTAAAGCGAAGGTGCTAAAATAATGTGCTCGACACAATAGTGCTACTTAGAAAGCTTTATTGTCAAGACTTTTGGCAAATCATTTCTTTTTTTGGAAGCCCCGTCAATTTTGACATTTCGAATTCGTACGCAGGCTTCCCTTAGGAAACCTTTCGGCTTTCTTGCATGCTCTCCCTAAACCCCAAAAAACGTTCTGCTAAGCTTTGCCCTTCCGCTATAAAAACCTACATTAGCTAACACCTCACTGGTATTAGTTAAGTATAGCCACATACTTGGCTTTAAAAAGACCAATTCTGGATCTCACTAATTAAAACTATCTTAGCTTTTTATGGAGATTGTAAAATTTCGAAGCCCCCTTCGCTAATTAATAATGAAATTAAGTTGTTTATACTTTCAGTTAAAACTACTGGTATACCATTAAATAAAAACAGAAAGCTCCAAAAGGCCAGCCCTTTTATTAAAAAACTGGTTTTTCCGGAACAAAAGAAATTTTTGAAAGTATTACTTATTTAAGAAAGGTATTATTTAAGCAAAGCTCATATATATATTTATAATCATTAAAGCTTCAAACTTCGTACTGATTAATATTTGAAACAAAAAAGATCGATAGCGAGCATTGACGACAACAACATCCTTAGAAGTTTCCAATAAACTTTAAATTCCAAATATATTTTTTTGTATTTATTTTAATTAAAATTAGTGGTTTGATTTTTTAGATTATACTAACCTAGGTAGATAATAAAACTAAATATTACTACATATATAGTGCTATAATGTAGGTAAACTCACTTAAACGTAAAAGCGAGCACCAGTATCGCTAGTAATTTAATTAGTTTATTATTTACAGCTTTTCTGTTTAGTGCAAACCCTTAATTTGTGGTTAACACTAATATAATCAAAAACATTTAACGAAGGTACTAAAGATAACGAAGTACTAATAAATACGTTGGCTTTTTTGAATTAATTTAATAACTAAAAGTTCTGAGCAAAGACTACTTAATTACTTTCTTTAACACCCTGGGATTTTCTTGCATGTTACATACTTATACACATATCTTAAAGATCCACTTCTACTAGCCCTATCAATTAGCTTAATCTCTTAAGACTACCGTGAAGTTGTCTCCATAAATTATTAAGTAACATCCTAAATGAATTACCTTTGACATTCATAGCTAGTCAAACATCGATAAATTATAATTCAATAGGTCCTTCCTTGAAGTAGTTCGTTAAAATGTGTGACCTACTCCAAAGAATTTAATACAGGCAAGGAAACAATATGATTTTGTTACATACTGCAGGCAGCTACACCGATATTCCTGTGTAGGCGTTTATATTAATATTAATGACCTTGTAAATGCTCTCTATTCTCGAAAATATATATTTTTATAGGCAACTAAAATAATAAATGCACTACGCAAACAAAATTTTATAAGAAGAATGTTACAAGTTTTTGTTTGCTTAATTAAATATATATTAATTTGTTTTTTAAAAAAAAAAAATTGGAGGAAGTAAAAAAATACTTATGGTCTATCACGCGTTTACTTCTGCGAGGCTAGAGGTGGTGGTTAAAATGCCTCTCAGTCCGCCGAGTTTAGCGACGGCTGCGCTCCAAATAATATATTCTTCGAGGCTCTCCCTATATAGTTCATCTTATTTTTACAGACAATATTATAAGTTTTGAATATAACTCAAATTTTCAAGTCCATTACCATCACCAGCCACTGGGTATTTTCAAAAGCTCTGTAAGTGCTGACTAGTAACTTCAAACTTTTCTACAACGCTTAGACCTTTGTTGGCCCCCAAATGTTACCGCACACTGAGTTACGCGGGTATGCAGCTTATGCCAGGGTTTAACTCACCTAAATAACCCCACACCTTCAAATTGTATATTATCTACATACGGTTTTGGTTTTCACGCTAAAGGCACGATAAAATTTATGGGTCATAGGAATGGTTTGTAAAACTGCCATAAAGTTTTTTATACAAAATCATTGTAGTCTTATATTATAGATACAGAAAATATGTGCTTTTCTCGGTCACCTGAAATCAGTGATTTTGAATTTATAAAACCCGTTAGCAGAGGAGCTTACGGGTTTCCTATACTACTCCGCAAAAACTTTTAAATGCATTAGCTCTTATGCTTGTTAGTTTTGTCTATCTTTCTCGTCGAAAAAGAGATGGAAGGTTGTACGCTGTGAAAAAATTAAAGAAGAAAGAAATGATTGAAAAAAATATGGTTGAACAAGGTTTCCTCATCAAAGTTCTACTTTTATATTTGGTCGGACCTAACTTTTTTAAATAATAGTAGTTAAGGAAAGAAACGCCTTGGCTATATCGAAATGTTCATTTATATCTCGAATATATTACTCGTTTCAGTCAGACGACTTTGTTTATTTGGTTACGCATTAATGAATAGAGCGGTATATAGCAGTCATTCATACTGCTTAAGACTAGATAATGGATTATTACATTGGCGGTGATGTAGGGGCGCTTTTGAAGAAAGTGGGCTGTTTTGGAGTGGAGGAGGCTCGCCTCTATGCAGCGGAAATTATTCTCTCGTTAGAGTATTTGCATTCCCACGATATCATACACAGAGATTTAAAGCCAGAGAATATTTTAATTGACGAGCGTGGCCATCTGAAGCTTACTGACTTTGGTCTTTCTCGTGTTTCTTCTCTCCTTAGCAAAGGTTTCTTGTTAGAAAACTCGTCTTAAAATTTTTATTACAGTTACAGTTTTTTAATTAAAGTTTTGTGCTTGATTCGACTAGTCGGAGTATCAAATCTTTTTTTTTTTAATATTACGGTTGGCTAGAAAAGCGTATCAAGGGTTTCATTAAGCAAAAAAGTGCAATTGTAGTGGTTTATTATTCACTAAGAAGAACTCTAAAACGTACCTCTTTGACCAACTTACAGATCTTACGGCTTCTGATTTGCTCCACACGCCCAAGAAAAATTCTAACTCTTTTTTGCCACCACGAACCCCTGGACAAGTTTTGTCGTTAACCAGCAGTTTATTTTTTGTACTGCCACTTTTTGTTTATGGGTTGTTGATATCAAAATTATGATACTTTTTTTCTTTCCGTGGTATAAACTTTTTTGCAGCACAGTTGCAGCGGCTCTGTTACTGAGGTTGCCGAAGACGACCGGCCTCGTTTGGTGAGGGGTACTCCAGATTATCTTGCGCCAGAACTTCTTCGTGGGGAAGTACACGGTGTTGCTTGCTTTTATTACTGATTTTAAAGCTCCGGGCTAAAAGACAGCATTTTTTTGTCTTGTGTCATTTTATTAATGTTTTATTTTACAACGAAACATACTTTCTCCGCTTGTCTGTAATCAAGAAAAATACTTTTTTTTGTATCACCTCGCTATATATTAAGTCTTATTTTTATTTAAGCATACTATTCCTTATACAGACGAGGCTGTAGACTGGTGGGCGCTTGGAATTTGCATCTACGAATTTTTAACCGGCTGCCCGCCCTTCAACGACGAAACAGTCGAGGCCGTATTTAGCAACATTATCCGATGCGGTACGCCTTTTATAGATAAAATAGCAATGAAATACACAAAATTACGAACTGTATCCTCTTTGCGCTTAAAAAGAGCTTGCCTGTCTGGAACTTGAAATCCGCGATATTAATGCTCAGCGCTTACTTTATCAGCTGCTAGAGAAGGACCCCTTGGCGCGCTTGTCTTCTCCTGGTCCTCCTCTATGCCCTTGCTTTTTTTCGTCATAATAGTATAAACAATAAAGCAATTCGGGCCCATCCCTTCTTTGCTACGGTAAACTTTGAGACCATTTTGTTGCAGGATATGCCTTTTATACCAGGCCCGCAAGACCGCTCCGATACCAGCGACTTTTGCGTTTAAGGTTAATATCTTATTTATTTTAAGTATACTCCGTAACTGAACTTTTTTCTCTTTAAACCGTAGGTTGTGTATAAAGTAAACTGAAATGTTTGGTGGAGAGTCTGAAGGAAGCTTTTTTTAAGGGATTTAAACAATAATATTCAGTTTATCTTGATAAACACTAATTGAGCACCATAAAGCTTTTGCATTTTTTCTTACCATCACGAGCATGTCAGTGGTTGTTTACGAGTTAAAATTTACTTATAATATTTTAAGTGTAGTAGCTTTAAGTAAAAGAAATCCCATTTTACACTACAGACTTTGCAACCTTCTTTTTACATAGTGAACTTATGAAACATGTATGTGTATTTTGTTTACTAGTGTGATTGTGCTCATCAAGCGCTCGCGGGATTAAATCGAAGGCAGCTAGGTTTGTGTGGATCTTAATTCTCCCCGCAGGATAATAATAAAGTACACGAGCCATATGCCTAGTCCTTATCACTTTGCCAATTTAGAAGAAGTAATTAATAATCAAGATTAAGAAAATTTCTACAGCTTTTTTACGCTTAGCAGGATTTATACAAAAATTGATGTAGCTAGTATATTTACAATTAAAAAGAAACATTATTTTTAACGCACTAAATTGGGGTTGAGTATTATAAAACAAAGAAGCTTTAAATTTTGTAAAAATTATATAAATACAAAACAATTAATTATCTAAAACTTCAAACTGTCGTACTTAAGAAAAAAATAGATAGAAAATATATAGGATTAAACACGGCGAAGATGAATAGTTGTATTCGGGACCTGAACAGGAACACATAGTCTCTGTTTAGCACGAGCACTTGCTCTAACGATTTCCTAAGGTCGTTATGCCAGACTAATAGGTCGATTCGTCAAGGTTCTCAAACAGTGGTTACAGCATCGATGACTTCCTTATCGTTCGCAAATCTCTTTTAAACAAGCCACTTTTTGCGATTTCGAAACATTGGGGAGTCGCACGGGGCAAATCTGGTGAGTATGGTGAGTAGCGAAGCTAATTAACTTTTAGTCATAGAATTAAGCCATTGCGATGAGTGAAGAGTGAACTGGTGCTTTGTATTGATGAACAGTATTTTCTTTTTTGCTAAATGTGGCCGTTTTCTTTTAACCTCATATTATTTTTCTAATAAGTTCACGTAATACTTCCCGTTTATCGTTTTTTGATTTTCAAAATAATCAATAAAAATATTTATTGTATAAAAACTACCCTACGCCCAACCCAGAAATCAGATCGTCATAACCTTGCTAGCCTATGCAACTATCTTTGCTTTGGAGCTGATTCTCCTTTCGCGATCCATTTTGGACTGGTGTTTAAGAGTGGCAAAACCCAGTCTCATAGAGATGAATCTAGCAAAAATTTGGTGGGATTAAGCTTATAGTAGGTCGGATGTAAGACGATGGCGCATTACCACTTCTCACCCGAAAAAATCCTCCGCACATAGATAATGCGATGGTGTCGTGTAGCGCAGAACGGAGTGCCTGATGCGCTTATTTTGCATGAGGTTCTCTTGCTGTGCCAATGACTTCCTTAAACATTTTGTCCCTCGTTGTGCGCTTAAGATAGGGGAAAAAAGTATACATTTTAGGGGTAACGCATGTTCTAATAAAGAAATGCAACTAATGGAGTGTACTACGCCAAATACTCTTTCCATCTAATATCTTATGGCTTAGTTCTACGAGCTAAGACAATGAAGCTCAGTTATCCGATTTGAGTCAGTTACAGTTCAATTCCACTTAATTTTTCGAGAGGGTTAATAGACATTATCGGGCATGATTAGTTTTTAATTGCCTTGTACCCTCAATTTTGTTTCAAACTCATTGCGATAGTGCAAATAGTAGTGTATACTAGTAATTTGACCCTTTAACGGGCAAAACTGGGCTTGTAATAGTTTTGTTTTTCTCTGCAAAAGCACTTCCTCTGTTGAAACTATACTTTAACGTTTAATATTTGTTTCAAAATTTGATTCTATATATCTCAATTAACCCTTTAACGAGTAAAACTATGGGGATTAAAATAGACTGCAAACCCACTAATATGAACTAGGCGAGAAGTGGTAAACAGTACTCAGCAACTTATAAGGGGTGAAATTAAAGCGGTAAGTGGCCACCGGCAGACTGCATAAGGTGTATAACGTTAATAACAGTTATTTCTTAAAGGTCAAATCTCTATAAAAGTAAAGAATATAAATTTTTCAAAAAGTACAGCAGTTATTACTCTGTTTACTTTTAAAGGAACCTGTAAAATTTAAAATTGTTGTAAGGCAGTAATTAGAATATGTAGACTTTCAATTAGTAAAATTTATAATTTAGTGACTTGCAACTATATGAACACCATTAATTTACTGCTTGTAAGTGAAGGGGACCTTTCTTTTACTTTAGCTCTAGCGCGAAGAGCAAAAAAGGAAAAAACTTTAAAAAATTAACTTCAAAGTGTGTATGGTTCATCAACCCCCCTTAAGCCCTTTGAAAAACTGCCTTCTTTTATCAACTTTCAAATAACAGCTACTTCATATAATAGTTACGAAAATCTGTTACAAAAATATCATGACTTTCATATTATTTATAACCATCTGCAAAAATATAACTATTGTCGTCGTGAATTTGAAGTCCACGCTGTAGCCCTTGAAAGTTGCTCGAGACTTAAAAATCAAAAGGCAGTTATTTTGTAGATTTTTTGTTAATTTCTTTTGCTTCCATATAAAAAGTATTTTAGTTTTTTATTTCTGTTTTTTCCTACTATTTCATGTGTTTTATTATTGTTTTTACAACTGAGGATTGACATTTTTCTTCTAGAAGTTTTATATACTTTTAGCTTTGACGCTTTATATAATATATAAGTTTTTTGTTCATATCTATAAGGTATACGTCTTTGTAAATTTCGTTTTTCATCTATAAACTATTTTTTGTATTCTTAATGAGGGGTAAGTTGTTGTCGCTTATTTTTTAAAAATTTTTATTGCTCGCAATAATTAGTCTCTTTAGAGCGAAAAAAAATTAAATTTTTTTTTGGAATATATGTTATACCTTCAACTTTTTTTTACTAAACATAATCCTGAATTAATTCTATTCCCTTTTTTTTAAATAAGAGTTTTTTGTTGGTATCATATTAACTCAGTTTTTTTCTAATTTTTTAAAAACTAGTTTGATGCAGTAGTTTTAATCATCCTCATCTTGGAATTGGGTACAGTCAACTTAACGGCGCTTTAATATCGCACTTTTTATACGCAATAAAAACTTTTCTTAAACCAGAAGGTCAAATTCAAATAGCTTTACTGAACTCTCAAAGCGGACGCTGGGATTTAATTAACCGTGCTGAATCACAGGTAGTTAATTCTCCTTTAAAAAAAAGTCTTAAGTTTTTAATTTTGTATTTAGGGGTTTCTGCTACTTGACAAAAGTCCCTTTAATAAACATCTTTGCCATTATGGATATCAAGCCAAACGCAATAATTACGGCCAATTTTTTCAAAATGTTCATACGCAGAGGCACATGAACTGTGAACAGGAAAGTATTGTTTACGTCTTTATTCCTAAAAGTTTCTCCCAAAGTGAAATTTTCTTCTCATTTTTACTTTCATTTGGGTCGTCTAAGAGCAGTAGCAGTAGTAGAAACACAGAACTTGAAGAACTTGAGTGTAGCCAATGCGGAAAACGCTTTAAAAGCGCACGTGGTCAAACCACACACTTCCATCAAGTTCATGAACTGAAGTTATACGAGCGCGATCGGCTTGATTCAAAAGTGTGCCGCTACTGTGAGCCGCATAGACGCTTTAATAGTCAGTCCGCATACAATAACCACCAAATAGCTAAACATTTAGCTTATAATGACGAAGAGGTGCTCCATCTTGGGCCCTTTGAACCGCGCATCCAATGGCATGGCTGCTCTTCTTACGAAAAATTATTTTCAAACCAACGCGCCTGTCGCCAGCATTACAATTTCTGCGCAAAATTTTGCTAGACTTAAATAAAAGAATTTACTTAATTTAATTTAGAAAAAAAAGGGAGAAATTTTTTAAGCTGATTTTTTTTCAAGAAAATTCTTTAGGCTAAGCTTACGTAGCCTAAGTCTTATTCTGTAGAATTTTTTTAATACTTAAAAGAAGACGCACTTATGTAGGGCGCAAGCTTGTGAATGCATATATGACCCACAACTATCTGACTTTTACTGAAATGAAGAACTCTAAAAATCAATGTAAATATAACCGTGCAGTATTCGATAAACTTTTCATTTAATGGATTTCGACGGTATTAAAATAATTGAGATAGGGCGCGAATACTAGTGAAAAGATCATTTTTACTATATGAAAACTTTATGTTCAATAAAACATGTCTTAAGCTAGACTTACAGCTGGGGGGTTTTCTCCTGTCCTTTTAAATTATCTTAGAGACTTCACCTCACTATATCTCTAACAAATGCAATATATCTATAAATCCGGTGGTTGTGTCATTTTTACGCACCAAATTACGGAAACCCGTTTGACATCTACACTCCACAAAGTTTTATAACAGGGATTTTCACAGGTCCCCTAAGGGTTAGGGTAGGCTGTGGTAGGAGTTTCGAGGGTTTGATTGTTTTATAGAAAATGTCATTACGAATACACCCCATGGCTTTTTAGCCAATCTGTGCGGATAAATTAGCGGGACTCTATAAATCTAAGCACCAGATAATGAGACAAAGTGTTAGAGAAAAGGGAGCAATTAGGTTCTTTATAAGGTGCATTTAAATTCGCTTTATAGGCTAACCGTAAGGACAGACTTTCTTTTCACTCGAATAAACCGCCCCTCTTATGTAGCGTTATTATAGAAAAAGGAGGTTTTTGGTGACGACGCTTCATAATTCAACTATTCTTCGAAGTGACCTAAAATTTTCACATTCACGGAAATGAGTTAATTTTTTGTTCTTAGTTCATGAAATAGTTTTAACACTTTCTTAACCGGATCGATGAGCTTGTTTGAGGGCGTCTTATTCCTGGGGGAGCATGGTTATGAAAAATTTACTTTTCTGCGAAGTCGATATTAACGTTCCTTAAGAGAAGCGGGTAACTTAAACTTGGTGGCAGTACGGTGACTGTCTCTACAGCATTTTAATTTGGTATACAAACAAGGCGAATGGGTCGTCAAGCTCTATTTCGTTTCTCAATACTGTCGGGTTGAACTGAATTTGCGCATATCACAAAGAGCGAAACGACGACTAAATGCTGGGATAAATCTGATAGCTCTAAAAGTGTGATGGATGGATCTCCATTTCGCAAGGTCCAAAGGAGTAGGGGGGGGGGACCTTACTTTCTTTAGGTTACATTAACCCCCAATTACTATAATGTTGCAGTTTGCTTGTAAAATTTCCAAAAATAGTTGGAAACTTAATCTCCAGGGTATTCAGAAAACTGTCTCCTGGTTATTAACCCTCGTGGTCCTGTTGTATCCACAACTATATGAAAAGTGCTCGATGGAAAAGCGGGATAGAAAAACGTAGGGGTGGGTTTGGAACAAAGGCTCCAGCTTCAAGACTTAATCTTTAAAGAGTATTTTTAGAATATGCAAAAGCTTTGTATCTCCTACTAAATAAACCCAAATGTTTTGACAACCCGATAAGTTGTAGGGTGCATAAAGTACATTTTTAGAAAAGCCTTCATCATAGCAACTCTAGTTACAAGCAAAGTAGCCTTAAAATCGTTGTAGACGAAAAATACTACCAACAAAAATGTTTGTAAATAGACAATACATGGCGAATACATGAATACATTTTCGACTAAACATAAGCAAGAAAACCCTATTTGGGGGCTACAAAATCGTTTGCAGAAGGGAAATTAGAAAATGTCCCTTTTTCTGGATTCACCATTAATTTTTTTTTTACAAGGTCAATATACTCACGAGGTTACTTTAGTCACATGGCGGCTACAAGAGTAATGAAAGTAATACAGAACTCAAACTTAAACAAGCAAACCCTGAAACTATTGTAGGCAGGACCCATTTGGAACAAGTAGTGCGGATGATAGTAAAATACTCCGATTTCCTTTCCAGGGAATATTGTTCGATATTTTTACTTATTTAAAAATCCTTCATCTATAAAAGCGTTATTGGAGGAATTTCAAAGGCGCATAACTCCTTTTCTAAAGGTTATTAACTTTTGTTCTTTATATATAAAATTAACTAAGTTACTTAAACATGGTAATTAAAACTTTTTTTTATTATCCTATTAAGAAGGTTAAAACTGTTTTTAATTTAAAGGTACACGGTCTTTCATTTGACACTACTCTAGCATTTAATTGGGCTGCGCTTTCGTTCCTGTCCGGTTCAAATTTTGTTTACTATAAAAGCGGGGCTAAGCCATTATAAATTTTTTCTGTTTTTTTTATTGCATCTTTCCTTGTTCCTGCAGTAAAACAGATAACTTACCTAGGCAAACTATAAGCGTGGAGTACAAGGAGTATGGTTGTGAAAAACTTGAAATCAATGCTGAAAGCATCAGCCATGGAGATGACGTCGTCGTGATCATATATGACGTCCTTGCTATTGGCGGAATTATGAAGGTTTCTACAACCTCATACAATCCTCCTTTTTCTTATAGAGTTATTCCTAGACTAATATTCTTGTTATTATAAGGTTGCTCTAGACCTGCTAAAAACCTGGAGGAAATGTCATGAAATGCTTGGTGCGTATCGAAATCACCGAGTTTAAGGGAAAAAATATTATTGGCGCCCCCTTGTTACGCACTTTTTGAAAGATAATGGGATATATGTACAATACTTTTAATCCCACACCCATAGCTCTTTTGGAATATGTTTTCAGCGCATCAAGTCCTTTTCGAATTTTTTTTTGTTAGCTAAATAAAAATTTCTTAATTTTTTAAAAAATTTTGCTGGTTTATTTATAAAAATTACGAAATACACATATACACTTAGAATATTGAACGAAAATTTTCAATTTATGTTCAAAGTCTAGCAAAGACGAGTTTACACGTTCAAGTTAGCGCAAAGGAACTTTTTGTAAATATAAATAACCTTAATTAGGACTACGAATTATATTAACAACCATAACAATTTTTCACCTCAAGCGGCAAACATATTAAAGTTCCTTGCTTAGAAGAATATAAAGGGTTTGAGCTTTTGAAGTTTGACTGATTACGTAAGAATTTCATTCTGCTTTTGCAGTGTGACGTTTTTTTATGGGGTAACACCTTAATAGTGCCAAGTGTAAAGTCTCGGCCCCTTGATAAACTATTATCTACCCCAAAAGAGGGCGACCACTTTTCTGCATCTGGGAAAATCTAACATGTGTTAACATCCCACTAAATACTACGTATAAGTCGGGTAGCGCAAGAAAAATTTTTAAATTAATGTGACGGAGGAGGGGTGTCGAGGGGTGTCCGAGTTAGCCCTCAAGGTATTAAAGCTTTTGTATAAATTACCTTTATCCCCACTTGTTGGTTTAAAATTGCGAGTAAAAACGATATAATTTTGAAGTTGGTAATAAGCACATGGCTAAAGAAACGGAAGAAATATTATCCCCATAACAATTGCTGGTTTCTCTTTACCCAGTGTATACCTGCGTAATACACCACCTATCTGACTTCCGTTTGTTAATAGTCAACTTTAGTTACAAATTACAAAATACGACCATGTTTCCTTATTTCGCACCTTAAATTTAGAAGAGATATTTTAATCTCGGCTTACCACTCCAGTAACATTTGTAGTATGTTCAAGGAACAATATGTTGTCCAATTCTTAAATAGTGAAGAGTATCTGAAAGATGTCTACCATCGTGCTTAAATATCTTTATTTTAAGCAGGCAGGTTTTCGTGCGATTCCTTAAATTAAACTTCTCCCCTGTTTTAATGTTATAAAGTTGTTAGGGGCTATGGGGTTGGCTATGGGGTTGTGAGCTTATAAGAGATTGTACTTTACGATAATTTGTATGTTACCTGTGGGCTAAAATAAATCCCATATATATTGATTATTACACCCTTTGCTTACTGCTTAAGTTGCAATACGGTTCCTTTTTTAAGGGTTTGCTTTTTTTCCAAATCCCAAGTACTCGTAATATACAACATAAAAACCACGCCTACTCCTTAGACAGGAACTAGGGGTACATATTATTTGGATACAATCTTAAACAAGCAATAAATGAAAATATGCCTTTAAAAGTAACTTCGCTACCATCTTGAGAAGACTTTTACGATTAGTTTATACAGGTCCGTTCATAAACATTATTTTCTGTATCCTCTTTCTTGCTAGAACTATAGTACTTTAAAAGAATTCTACAAACCTAGCTTCTATATGCACTTTAAAAAAACTTTTTGACTTCCTATACATTCTTACCTTTGCATATACTGATTGCACCTAAAAGTTAAAGTTAAGCGTTTTTTTTATTGAAAAACGTCAAAAAGTGGACGCCACCTATCAAAAACTGGGTGTTTTTTTTTTCTGTTTTTCGCTTCATTACTAGTTATTCAAAAACTCAATTCATCATCATTGTTATATTTTCTTAAGCACCTTATAAAAAAAATTGAGGTGTTATTGCCACAAGCTTTAGTCTGAACTTTTAACTTCCATTTTGTAGACTATATTATCGTGCCCTACTGTAATGTATAAATTAAAATTATTTTAGTGTCACATAATAATTTTCTTCTTTTTATTTTCTCGTTTTATGCCCTTTTTAATTTTCCGGCCTTTCATTTAATCTGCAGAAAATTTTATTTTATAGATTATTTAAGACACTAATTTATAGTATAATACCGCTAAACCCTATATTACTCTCGCATATTTGTATAACGTTGAATTTATGCAATATGGTTGTGAATTAAGTTGCGATGCTGCTTGCTGATTTAATTTAGCTAAAGTAGAACGTTTGTGGGGATCGGCTTTGCCATCTCAGTTCAAATTATTTCCTGCTTAATAACCTACTTTGATGTTAGTGATATAAGTTTTAAGTAATTGAGCTTTATAATTTCGTATCCCAGGTGCTTAACTCTTAAATAGATCTTTTTTAAATGTTCCGCAATAGAAATTACTTAAAAACATTTTTTTATATTGAAATTCGCTGGGTTGTCTTTAACAATCCTCGGGTTTCGTCGTAGTAGCTACTTCTTCTGGTGCTGTTTTAGCGCCTAGTTCTCGATGGAGTCCAAAAACTTCGAATACTCGAGCACTCGACTAGGAGTGATCGCAGACATGTTACATAATAGCTTTCCATAGATAAAGTGTCATTATTTTCTTGACATTAACATACATAAACTGGGGCACGCGCGTCACGTGGGCGGCGATAGCGTGCCCCGTCCCAAGGCTCGTACTAAGTCCGCTCACCAGCAGGAGATTAGTGTGGCTGGCTAGCCTATGGTAAAGCGCATGGCCTTACGTTGGAAGACGACGTCTAAAAGGTCAAACTGAAGGTCCCAGTATAAAAGTTTCACTTCCCACAAACCACGTCCCACTTATTTAGTTTAGCAGTGGCAGCCTATATACTTTGCTACACTATATCTTGGTCCCTTAGAGCGATAATTAGAATTCTCACAAAACCTGTTTACTAGCTGGCTTCAAACCCTCCTAATGTGATCACGGTAGGCGTTTGGAGTTTAACAAGATTTTAAATTAATGAAAATATCAAGCATTATTGTTAAAAAAAAAGTATCTATTTAATATCAATCATTAATAATAGTGACCCAATCTAGATATTTTAGATTATTTAGTGATATATTAAACTTAAAAGATTAAACAAGAATGGTATTGGAGGGAACTCCTCTCTTCTGGTGAGGCATTTGGCGGTGGTGCTAGTCGGTGTCTTCCGGGTGGCCTCGGGTCTCTTGCCCAGGGGGCCTCTCCCGGTGGTGGTTTTTAGCGGTTTTCCGCTACACTAGGTCGAATGGCGGAGGTGGGGACCCGTTACTTTACCGCTTTTTTAGTCCATCGGGGCAAGTTGTTATAGCCCTCTAAAGAGCGTACACTGGTGGGCAATAGTCCTCCAACCCCTGAAAAAAGGGGAATTCTAACGAAAGTTGTATACGTAACTTATGGTTTGAAGATATGAGTTTCACCGTAGCTCAGTGGATAGAGCATTGCCGCGCAACCTCGAGGTGCCAACTCACATTATTCTGGTCTTGTGATTACGTGTACACCTTCCCTACAAACAAAAATTCCGATAAATTCAAGATTAAGCGGTTTGAGGTCTGAAGAAGAATAGACCGTACTATACCAGCACTAAAAAAAAAAAGGTATCGGAGTACTCTTTTGCCTGCTTGCTTATGTTTTAATTTATTTTAACCGTTAAAGAGCTATAGTTTAATCGCACTAAAGTTATAAAGAGAGACTGCTCCAGAATATGGTAGCTAATTTGCCAGCTCCCATCAAAGATCTGCAAACAAACTATTGTGGAACTGTCAAATTAAGAGAATCTTTTGCAGGTGAAGACTCCTAAACAAAGAAAGGGAGAGCAACCAGCCTTAGAACTTCTAACAGGAAATATTTTTATTTCTCTAGTTGCTACTGATTCAAGGTCTTTTAATGACGAAAATATCATAAGTTCAAACCGTACTAATAGATATCTTAAAAGTTTAAGCATAAATACAACTCAAAGTAAGAAAAACAAGAGTAATAATTTAAATAGTACTTCATATAGTAATGCAAGCACTAACAATGTTAATAATAACTGATTATATTTGATAACACTGATAGTAATGATGATAGTAGCAATAATAAAAGTAGAAATAATAATAGCGGTAATAATAATAACAACAGTTATAATAACACTAATAGTATTAAATATAGGAATATTAATAGTAATAATAGTAATACTAATAGCAATATTCATAGTGATAAGAATAAAAAACTTCTTATCCTCTCCTTTTATTCTTCGTAATAAATCAGTTTGGAAACTTTTATCCTCACAACTAAAGGCTAACAAGATATTTATTACTCTGCTAAAGATACGCCACACGGCATCAAAATTAAGGTACCTTCTGAAATTGACTTTGGAAAACTTACAGGCCTACTTGACGCCAATGGTCAAGGATTCTATACCTAACAGTTGCCTTTTGAAAAAGATATGAAGGTGGTCTTGCAAGGCATCTTTACTGAGCTAGACGCGAGTATATTAAACAAGAGCTGAAAATTCGAGGGTCCCATCCTTCTATATTTTTCAGTCATCAAAATGCGCCGCTATGGCAAGCTCAGAACTCCACTGCTTTTGGTCACCCCCTTGTTAAATTAACTCAATCTGAAAAAAGTATATATAACTAAGAAATGTAGGCTAAATTACAATTTTTGCGAAACCTTTAAAGAATAGTGGTAGGGTTGGCCAAGTGCTTTAGATGCCAATTATTCGGACATAGCGAAAAAATCTGTTTTAAGGCTACAAACGTGTTAAAAGCGGTAAAGAGCGTGCCACAAAGTCATGTCCTAAAGAATATGATGAAAAGCCAAGATGTGAAAACTGTAAGGGCGATCCCTTTGCAAACTAAAGAGGGTGTATCTTTCATCCTAAAAACGCTTCTTTTAGAATAATTTGAGAGAATTAACTGTAAGGAAAATATCAGGAATTGTTCTATAGAACCAGGAACGCGCTATGCTCGCAAATTGTCGAGTTGTGCTAGGAAACCCACAACCTTTACTAACCTAGGTGATTAAATAATTAATCATGTAGCAGTCTCCCTAACTGAGGCTATTAGTACTCAAATTTCGAAATTCATAGGCGATTTATTAGAGAAACTTAATAATCGGAAATGGAACGAATGCTGCTTAAAAAATATTAGGATTTTATCTTGGAACGCGGAATG